ACGTCCGCTTTGAAAATAATTCTTCATCCTCCGTTGAAATAAATTGGTGTAAAGTCGTGGTGCCGATTAAACAATAACACAGACTAGAATTTTCATTACTTAACATTAAATCTTATTCAACTCCCGATTTGATCAGATACTCTCAGTCAGTCAGTCAATGGTGCTGTCTTAGTCCTGGGTATGATGACAAACTACATCCGGCAGCAAGGCTTCTGATCGAGAGATAAGAGGTTTTGAGAACCTTGGAACCACCTCCTAATTGCTATTTTTCCCCAGGTTCACGCCGACTCTAACAGGTGCTACCACCTCGGGTTAGTGGACCTAAGAACAACACCAATCATGAGGTAGTTCCGCGTTCCTCAAAACCTCCAATCTCCTGATCAGGGACCTTGCTGACGGAGGTGGTTTGTCATACTCAAGACGACAAAAATGAAGAGACTTGAGGCAACAGATGTGTGAACTGAACTTTTTGAGCAACGACGACGTTTTAGTGAAAATGATGACAAAAAGCACGCTTATACAGGGTGTCCCAAAAAACTGGAATTTTTGGAGTGCGTATTGCCAGACATGAGCAAGTGGCAACACTGCGAGACAGTGACTTTAAACAAGTAAACATTTCGCCATTTAGAATTCCAGATGAAATTCACAGTATCCCAGCTGAGATGTTGCAGCAGTCAATGAGGATCTCAACAGCAGATTTCAAGAATGCATTCGTACAGGAGGACGCCATCTACAGGACGTAATTTTTAAAAAATGAAAATTCCATCATTGTTTCTTAAATGGCATTTTTTAAGGTTTCAATTACTATGAATAAAATATTTTTCTTCCATCACTCTTGGTTTTATTGGATTGTTAAAAAGTTCTCATTTTTTGGGTCACCCTGTATTTAGGATCAGAAAGAGAAAGTTGAGACCTCTAAGGCATAGAGTGAAAAAAGACAGCTTGGAGAATTTGACACCCACAGAGCATGCATGAGGGAAAGAGGAATACAGTGCATAACCTACCGAAATGAACTTGTGCAAATGTTTGACAGAACAGGGATTAGGAGAGATTAGCAAAAAGATAAACTTTACTAAGAGCTATAACGGACAAGAAATTGTGTGGAGGGCCATGACCGCCGACGTCCTGAAGGTACACGGCACATAGAATAAACAACAATAATAGGATGAGTAATGCAATAATGTGAGATGTAATGGATGTCAGCTCGAAAAGAGAACTTGTTGAGCCGAGTTCGAATTCCAGTTGTGTTTGTTAGATTCACTTTCGCAGAAATACCTTTGAGAAACCTATGAATCTATCTCTTCTTCCTGAAGCTATGGGTTGAATAGCAAGACAGACGGGGTTCTTTAGCCTTGGTTGTCAACCAGTCTACATACTGCGGGAAAAATCTGCCTTGTTAGTCATGTATCGAAAAATACATGGTCGCCTAAGCGTGTATCACGTATGGCACTTAACTGACTGAATGCAACAATAGGATGAAATATAATAGATATTAAATAAGTATAGAGAAAATGTACGTAGTGTATTTTTAGATTTTAGAGTTTTATTTTTGTAAAATATTTCCAACAGACTCTAGAAAAATTATCGAATATGAGTTATATTTTTATATCACTATAATTATACAACAATAATTGAAAATTATTGGCTACACATCTCAAAAAGTTTAAAATGGCAGTTCTCGAAGTCTTTTACGATATTTGCTATTCTGACTGGCAGGTCAGGATAATCCCATAAGGATTAATTAGGATTAATTCGCCAGTGGTTAGTGAATTTCATCTCATAGTTTCGACCACTCTATTGTCTGACTTCTGAGGTTTGGTGCGTTTAGGCGTTTTCAAAAGGTCAGAGGAAATACTTTTTTTACGTTAATGTTCACCCAACAGAAGATCCAAGAGCCACTCAAGACAGAGTTGTTGTGTAGTGTTATATGAGCGTAAGAAAAAGACAAGAAGTGAAGTCCATGAGACTATGCAGGAAAGATAAGGGTTGATGCTAGACATGAAAAGATCAAGATTGTATTAATTGGGAAGACATCTTGCCGATATTTTATTCCACAAAGCAGCAGTTCTTGGAGAGAAATTGCCCAAGTGGAACTTACTTCTTATGAAGGGTCCGAGTTGCAATGTTCAAGGGGTTGTGTGACGAAGGAATATAGCTCGCCATGGAAATAGCAATACAGCAGCAAGAGGCTGGCGACATTTCGTCTATAGGAAATGGGTTGTTCGGCGGAAAATAATTAATTACCCCAAAGGCCGCGTAGACTCTTTTTAACTCTATAAAACCAGGCAAGTGAGGACCAGATATGCCAACAATACTGCACTTTGGTATGATCTGGATTTTGCAAATATAGCGTATAATAGGGGGAGCCCGATAATCGAGCGGTACAATTACGCAACCATGTCCCAGCACCTTTAGTAATAGATTGGATACTTGAAGTCTGGGAAGAACTTTAGACCCAATAGACGTTCGTGACAAAGAACTTGCTTGAAAGAAGATACATCCATCACGATAAATGAAAGTTTGGGCTATGTTCGGTGGTGGTAGAACGTTTCTAGCTTAGTTTTGGTCGTGTTGAATTTTACAAGCCACTCCATTTCGCCATGAAGCCAGTGATGTAATGGAATAACCTACCACCCCCATGAGTGGCAGCACTATAGGTGGTAACCACCTATAAGTATCCGTTAGAACAGCGGACAGGAGAGTCGCGATGGGATCTTTCCCAGCTGCGCTAGTCGAACTCTCTGCTTTCGGGCAGAGAGGAACCCGGACGAGGCTATGCCGAAGGGCAGAGTTTCTGTCTAGACCCGATCCCGTTTATGCGGGGTCTACGTGGATTTTTTGGCCGAACCTATCGGTTCTGGAACCCCAATTTAAATTCGGCCTTGTGCCACATGTGACTGCGTGGGGCAGTTACTAAATACCGTCGAGCTGGGATCTGCAAGAACTAGCGGCCTTTCGATAACAGCACACACACAACTCTACTGACTTGCGACGACCGTGCGCATAACTATACTTCCTTGCTTGTTGTACTGGTTTCTACCACAAACCTGTTATTATTTATCTACCTTGTTTGTCCAGTCCATATTCCTATTAGCACGGAATATAACAGCCAGCTGGGCAGGGTCAGAGGAAAGATGAACTTCTAGATTCTGGTCTTCAAGATTTTGGGAGATGCACCTCTAAACTGTTGTATCATCCACATAGATATTCACTTATCATCAGAATGTGCTCGTTAATAAACAGTAGAAAAGACATTGTGCTTAAGGATTTCCGAAAACTGGCCATTAACAACGACTTTCAAGGGCATACCTGTTAGGAAGGTCTTGATATTGATAGAAATATTGTGACGGAAAACATCAAAGACGAAGAAATTGGTTCAAATGGAATGATATGTAATAAGTATCGAATTTAAAAACATTTAGACAAAAATTGATTACAACTGGATAGAGGATTATTTTATTTTTAAGTTACTTACTATGAATTGCTGGTGTTGTTCCTTTTAATGTTGGTAACGTCTGCCTTTTGCCCCTAGGAGTTGCAACAAAAGGTAATACTAGAAGGAAAAATAATACATAAAAAGCATAAAATATAAATATAAAATAAATATAAAATATAAAAATATATAAAATAAATATAAAAATATAGAAAATAAATATAAAATATAGAAATATATAAAATAAATATAAAAATATATAAAATAAATATAAAATATATAAAATAAATATAAAATATATAAAATATACAAAAAATATACGGAAGGAAAGATTTAAAAGAAAAAAAAAACTTGTTTAGATTTACAGAGAATAATTTTTTGAAATAATAAAATATAAATATAAAATTATGAATATAAAATTTTCGCCACTGGGTAGTAAAAACAAAATCATTTTTTTTAAAAAGAAAAATGTAAATTTTAAACTAAGATACATTTATAATACATCATTTTAAAAGGATTTGATTTAATAAGTACGGATTTACTCATATCTTTGTGGATGCATGTTGAATCGAGATATTCTCTAACATATGTAGAGGTAGTGTAAGTTAAAAAATGACAGTAAAAATTTACCTGAACAGGAAAATTCAGTGAATAGGATATCGTCGATTGCAATGTCTCCTTTGTCGTCAGGGCCACGAACAGCTTCGAAGATTATCTTAAAGAAAAAGGAAATGAGAATCAGAACATCAGAAGCATTTTTGACGCTTTCGACACCACCAAGGTTTTTTTCACTTACAAATAAAATAAATAAATAAACAATAGAGAAATAGGTATTCATGGAGGCGAAACAAAATCATGAAAAGCAGATATTGTTTACAGCAGAATGCAAAAAGACAAAATGGCAATTTAAAGAATGGGAGATGTTAATATTCTTTGGTACTGAGCGTGTAAATATTATAAAACTTGTTGAAGCTTAATTGAAAAAAAAGCTATATTTTTGTATCTCATTTCTGAAGGAATTTTTAGTATATATAAATTTCGTCGAAGTGTTATTTTCATCTTAATTAATATAAAAATTGTTCCGCCGTACCCTCTGGTCATCATCAGGTGATTATTATTTGGCTGCTATAGAATATCTGTTGATTATTGTATTATTTTCTGACTGTTGTGCCAATTCTTGTTCTTTTCTGCTTATATTGTACACTAATTGACCAAGTAATGGAAGGCTTACGGCCACTTCACGTTAAAACACCGATTCCTGTACAATCACCGTAGTAGGTTGCCATTTCTTTCTGCGGTAGACCAGTTGCCATCCAAGGCTATAGAACCTGGTCTGTCCTGATATTTACCCATAGCTGGGGGCGGGGGAGAAGAAAAGGATTCATAATGATTTAGTGATATAAGTTTTACTAATTAACCCATAGCTGGAGTAGGGAAGTGCTGGATTCATACCTTTCCCAAGAGTATTTCCGTGTAAATGAATACAGGGAACTCAACGGGAATTAGAACTCAACTCTGCAATTAACAATTCCAACACATTATCCAAAACACCACCCGCACATCCAAGCTTACAGCTCATGATATTCCCAAGCGGTCACCCGTCTATGTACTGACCAAGCTCGACTATTCTTAACTTCGGTGAGCATATAGGAACCAATGTTTAGACGTGTTGCGTCCATAAGCTAAAATAAAAGGTTAGGGAGAGGTGATTGATTCGCGTTTTCTACGGCTTATCGACCCTTTGCAGGTTATTTAAAGCCAGAAAATATTTTTAGATTGTAAGAAGTTTTTTGAGAAAATAATGGTTTATTGATACAAATCTAAGGAAGGGAGACATAGATTTATACCATTCTCAAAGGTATTTGCGCGTAAGTGAAAATAATGACAACTAGCAAATGGAACTCGGCCGTTATTCATTAGACCACCTGCACATCCAAGCTTACAACACCTGGTATTCCCAAGCTGTCACCCATCTAGGCACTGACCAGGCTCAACTTTGCTTAATGGGTTAAAAAGTAAAATTCAGAGCAACAATGAACTCAGTTCCAAAATTAAGTTAAATAAGCAATCACTGTAAGTATCGCCAGGGCAATCAAGAAACAATTTAGTACTAAAGCATTTTAAACTTACTATTAGACTTCATAGATAAAGCAAAGGGACATAACTTACCTTATACGATGTTGGTGATTTAATTGGTGCTTGTCCGAATAGCCAGTCATTTCCCTGATCTCTGTTCAGTTCCCAGAGTGTATTATTACCGCCAGTCGCGAATGCTATGACAACTCTTAAAATGCCGACACCCACTCCATTCATGCTGTACCAGAAAGTTATACAATGGCTTTGACCATACGTGGGTGGAAAGTCTTGGCTGACATACCAAGCTTTTTGGCCCGGGACTTTGGGGAAAGAGGCGTCAATGAAAAGATAAAAACCTGTGGAAAGAAAAAATTCTTTTAGTGCCTATGACGATTTTCTAAGATCCTTAGATATGGCACAAGGCCGAAAGTATATATATAAATTTCGAACTTTATATATATATATATAAGAATAATCAAACCTTATATATATATATATATATATATATATATATATATATAAAGAATAAAAACCTTATATATATATATATATATATATAAGAATAATCAAACCTTATATATATATATATATATATATATATATATATATATATATATATATATATATATATATAAATTCCGTTTTTTATATATGTTATGAAATCGATTAAGCCAGACAATTATTTAAAATATCTCCTGTTTATATGTTATATTTATAGATACACTATATTAAAAACAGAGCTTTTACTTACATAAATTCTATCTATAAAAATAGCGTATAAACAGAAACCATGTTAAATAATTGTCGGACGTAATCCATTTTGTTTATGTTAAGATAAGTTTCGTGAGCAGAAATGATCGTACGAGAAAAATAGTCGAAGGTGTGTGTTTATAAACAGTTATTCGGACTTTGCTAACCAGACGTTTCTCTGTGGCAGAATGGCAACAGCACGTCAGGCTACATGACGGTTCTCATAAGGGTTAACTGTTAAGAGAACGCATATTTTCTATGAAATTTCCCGAACATTGAGGCTAATAAATGTAATACTGTTTAATTAAAAACAGCAGTTTCTTAAATAAATTATATCTATAAAAATAACACATAATCAGTATATATATATATATATATATAACATCTAGACTTCAGTGACTTTATCACCAACGTGACGCGACTTGCCCTCTGTCTTTTCTACAAATATTTTCATGGCGACCCTTTCAATGAGCTTTTCTATTTGTATGAATTTAAGCGTACAACTAAATTGTCAATTAGGTCTTACCGTTTTCTTTTTGATCTTGCAAGATGCAACCGTCTCTTCTATTCTAACAGTTTATTTTCTCGCACTTCTCTTCTGTGGAAATCTCTTCCGATTTGGATTTTCCCTGCTACCTACAAAATTCTTACAATTAAATGAAAATATCTTTCTTCCTGAAATCTTTTATTAGGTTGGTGCAAAATTAATGACGTAATAATGTCGTTTTTTTACGTATTTTTGTAACGTCAAAAAACGACATTCTTACGTCATTATTTTTGAACCAACCTAATACTTTATTGTCCTTTCGTCACTTATCCTCATTAAAGTCTTCTCTTTCTCTCCTTGTAACCCCTGCGTTCTAGTTCCATTATCACCTTGCTTACTGCATGCGAAATGAGATATTACATACATATATATATATATATATATATCATGAGAGAATTGACAGTGAAGTTCTCTCTAGTACTCCTTTTTCACACTTTTTTGTTCAGCCTTCAGGAACAAGATCTTAAAAATGACCTGAAATCATTTTGCAAGTATGGGTGCTTAGCAAATAAAACTACCAGCTTCAGTCACTAGGAAAATAGTGGTGACATTCCTGATGTATAAACGAGTGAAATAATTTCTGTGCTTAAAAATGTGAAAGGCAGAAAAGAATAATAATAATAATAATAATAATAATAATAAAAACTTCGGTAACTATGACATAACTTACGAACGTAGAGAAACTCTCCTCAAAAGTAATTATCTGATTGTAAGTAAATCTCTCGGGATTTTTAAATAAGTAAAATTTACACTAGTTACATTATTCGGACTATTGTCCTCATCTTTGTCGCCATTTTTATCACATCGTTGTACGCTCCGGCCTTCTTCAGGTGGTTGGAATGTCGAACTGAACCCTTTATTTCGCTCACTGGGGTAGACTGTTCTAGTTCCATGTTTAATGGATGTCAGTTATCAGTTATCTCCTGTTAATTCTCCTCTCCAAGTTCTCCACTGCCTTAACCAGGTATTGAACTCACACTCTTTGGGTCCTGTCAATGGATCTGACTAACGCCTTTATCCACAGTGTCATGTGTCCTTTCTTTAGAAACAGTGAGAATTTCCCTTTCAAACAGACCGATTTGTGAACATAAGCATCAACATTAGAAAGAAAAAGTCTGATTCACAATTATGCAAAGAACATCAGAAGAAATCGACCCCAAAACAAACGATGCTGCTAAGTTGTGGTCATTTTATATTAACAATGAAAATCGTAATTTTTCTACTTAACAAGTGAACAAAGTCTTGAACAATAACTTTATACAAATAGAACGACAAATGTACAGAGTACAGCAACAAAAAAATAATCTTTGGTTGCCTACGAAAAGTAATTTGCTAAGATAAAACCCGCGTCAGTCATTAAATCATTACCAGAGAAGTGGATGTATTAGATAAATTAAGAATATATATTCTTAAGAATATGTACAATAACTGTATTGAAATAATTCTTTTACACCAGAGAGGATTCTTACACGAATAGGATTAATAAAAGATGGAGCAAAGGGATTCTTTAAAAGCATGGAAGAGAAAAATCAACAAATTCTCCCCCCACCCTGAAAAGTGTCCCACTTCATTGTTTATTTCTTGTCTCGCTGATAAAGGACACAGGGAAGTCCGAAAATTCCGACTTCTCGTCATGCTTCCATTTAGTCAAAAGACTTACTAAAATAAAATAAATATTATCAGTCTTAAAACAATATTATCATTTTTGTTTTTTTTTTATATTAAATCTACATATTATAAAAAGCAACGTGAAATTTCAAATATATATATATATATATATATATATATATTTATTATGTAAAATTAGGTAATCCGTATGGGTAGACCCAAGGAGGATGATATCCAGAGAGCTCAATGTAAATTCAGAGCAAATAAGTTTGAATAAAAACAGATCACTTTAAGGTTCCATGTAATAAGTTATTTCACCCAAACCCTTTTAAAGGGCTTTGGATCATCAGACTTTTTCATTTCAACTTTTGGAAGTAAAGTCTGATGATCCAAAGCCCTTTAAAAGGTTGTTGTAGAAAATAACTTATTACATGGAACCTTAAAGTGATCTGTTTTATTCAAACAAATATATATATATATATATATATATATATATATATATATATATATATATGTGTGTGTGTGTGATGTACTTATCCATTTAAGATCTTGCTAACTACATAAAAACATGTGAGCTCATACCAGTTGCTTTTTGTATAGTGTGGTCAATCACTGGACCTGTCTCTGGAGTTGAGGTTGCGCCTGACCCAACAATCCAATCGAAGTTGTCTCCTTCATGAGCGTTCACCCAAGTACATCGTCCATAATCAAAATCACAGTCACCTGTTAAAGAAATAGAAATCCGTTACGCTACATACACAACCCTGCCTATTAAAAATGTTAACGGCTTGGGTCATTGTCATATCAATGCTCCATTTTGAAACAATTTGTTTCTCTCGACAGAAGAATTAGGAAATTAGACTATATAATTATCCAATAATTATTTATATCTCCTTAATGTGCCGTGTTTCCTCAGGACTTAGACGATCATGGCTCTCCTCAACTTCCTACCCCTTGGAGCTCTTCATAAATTTTGTCTTAATACTCCTAAACCCTGTTCCGCTATCCATTTACTTAAGCACACTAAATATGTTATGCGTTGTTTTCTCGCCTCTCATCATCGACCTGTCTTGTGAGTATCAAATTTTCCAAGCCCCACTACATCATTATGTGCCCTAGAAACCACAACTATCTCTTCCTGATAAGTATAAGTTTTTATTTGTTTCCATTTTTTTTAAAACTTCGTTGTTTAAAACTTCGTCGTTGTTGGTCCATGGTATCCGCAGCATCTTTTAGTAGAACCACATTTTTGTTGCTTTAAGTCTCTTCTTTCTCTTTAGGGAGATTGCCCAGCACTCCTGCCATTCAGGAACACATATATCACGTAACACTTTAGTACTATTTTTGTTTAGTACTCTTTTCCTTGTTTGTAACGAAAATGTTCTACTTCTTAGTACTCAGCTTAGCTTTTGGAAGGCAGCTTTGGCTATCCCAATGTGTCTTCGGATATATAAAGGACTTAAATATATACTACCTTCTGGCATGCATATACCGTACCCAGGTTAAAATTGGCATTGCCAATCAGCTGGATATCTTGAATATCCTGGTATATGTAAAATTGATTAATTTAGATTTATGGTTAAAAATTGCCTTTGCTTATAAAATTAACGATATAACAAAAGAATTAAAATTGATTATATCGACTAGTGTGGATGCGCAGGCGGTGTAACGGATATCAAACC